TCTGTGCAAACCAGTTTATATTTGACCTGTCAACATTTTTAGTGTCCACTTTGCTAGTATTAAACACAGGTTCAAAACAGAACCAGCCTGCCACCCAAAGGTAATAAAGGAGGTCAGAATTGCTTCCACTGTGGAAAGCTGGGCCACTTCAGTAGACAGTGTCACAGACGAAAGCCACAGATGGGCAAGGGAGTAGAGAGGAAGCTCCCACTCACTTGCTTTAAGTGTGGCTCTGAAGGACACTTGGCCAAGGTGGCCCACATCAGGTCCTCGTGGCAGACAGGACTGACAGGCCCCAGCTCCCAGCTGGAAACAAAGGAGGACGCTTCAACGATGTAGATCCTCCCAGAAGAGCCATGGATGAGCATTAACATTACTGGTTGCAACACCTCCATGATACATCTTCAAGGATATGAACATGTACGGCTAAGTACAATTGACAACAGTGCATCTAAATTCCAAAATCAATCTCCATAATAGTCTATGTGTTTCCTATTGCCAAAGAGGCCCTTTAGAGTAGTGAGAGAAGATCTTCACCCTGAAACCCACAACGTCCCTTTTCAGCGGGAAGTAGCTAAGAGAATACGCCATCCCCTTTTCCTTATGAATCAGGGTGAAGTCTCTCTCAGGGAGGAGTGATAGGGAATGGCAAAGGACACACTGACAAAGGAGATTCATCAGAACTGGCTTTGACAAGCACTGTGGCAATTGGACAATTAAAACAGACATTTGGGGGGGGGAAGAACGAACTGAGGAGGAGGGTAGAGAAAACAAGAGCAACAATGAATGAATGAGAACCCCCCCCAAAAAAAACCCTTTGTAGTAATGGGAAACTCACTCATAAAACACCTTGTTCCATTTAAAAATAAACATCAGTTATTAAATTCCTCTAAAAAACAACAACAAAAAAACACCACCAAAACCGAACCAGCCCAACCCCAGCACCACTGAATGCATCCCCTCGACTAAAGGTCAGCCTGGGTGTGCACTTAATTCCTCACTCTTCCTTCTGCATCCTGATTTCCTCAAGCACTTCTGAGACTCCGTCTAACATACTTTGGACATGCCGTAAGGAGGGACTGGTCCTTAGAGACATCATGCTTGGGAGGGTGGAGGGACAGCGCAGGAGGGGAAAGCCCTCTATGAGGTGGATTGATTCAGTGACTGGGGTAATTGGGATGGGTGTTGGAGACGGTGCGATTGGCAGAGGACAGAGCAGAGTTTAGGACTGTTTGTACATAGAGGGTCGCTATGAGTTGCAACTTGATGGTACGTAACAACTACTCTTTTTGAACATCCCATCTTGTTGCCCAGTTTTTACCTACTCATCTCCCCATTTCCTTGTTTTCATGACACATGTGGCACCAGAGTCCCAAATGTTTACTGTCTCAAAGCATCCTTTTCATGTATTCTATGATTCTACCAGGGAGGTATCCTCTCCTCTCCTCACATCCCGAAGGAAAACAATTTAACCAAAAGTCCAGGTCACAAAAGTTTTAAGGCAGTTTGAGCACTCCGGGCTTTGTAAAGGAATCCACACTCAACATATTAAAAACAAGATTTCTAACAGTTTTTCATTGTCAAAAGTTGAAGTATACATAAATAACCTTGCTGTTAAGTTGCTGGGGTTTCCTAAAACCCCATGCGACATAACCACCACACAGGGTTTTTCTTGACTGTAGTCCTTACAAGAACTAATTACCAGGTCTTTTTCTCCTGCCAAACTGCCGGGGAGCTTTAAGATACCAACCCTCCTAGCAGTCAAGTGCTTAACTGCATCTTTGGAATCATTTCCTTTATTTAATTCCAAGTTGACATACAGCTATGTCAACAGCAATAATTAAATGTGTTTTGGATTCAAGGCAGAATACTGTGTAAGGAATTGGCAGTTTGTTCTCTTCCATCTGAAAATTTTACCACCCACAGGACACAAAACTACGTAGTGCATGTCAACTTTTTCGATGTACGTATTCACACACTGTATGTGTGCAGGCATCTCTATAGATATGCTTTGAAAATGAAAGGAAAGCAAATATAACAAGGTTTCACCTTTCTGTGTGTATTTCCTAAATTATCAACCCTGAACATGTGCTACATCAACAGAATTACAGGAGATATCTATGCTTTCTATAAAATTTTCCCATGTAACATCCTTAGTTTGTTTTACAAAGTCCTTTACCCTATTTCCATTTTCATTATATTCTTATGTGTTCATTTCTGGAGAAGTAGGCTGGGTTTTGCTCACTTTGGTTCCAGATCTTCACATGATGATTCTTCATATGTACCTCTCAAATCAATACTGTATGACTTCTGGAAACTCTTCAAAATTTCCTTAGTGACAAAAGTTCATCTGTAGTTAAGTACTTACAGTGTGCATAATTATTTCTCTGATTCCATAGGTTCACACCCTCCAAGTCCGGTAATGTAAGGGATTAACTCATTTGTGAAAAACATTCAAAGGTGTTTTTTTTGTCTCCAAAGATCACCAAGCCAAGCATTTGGCCATGTTTTTATTTACTACATATTCTATAAACATATACAATACATGCTAAAAAAAACCAACCAAAAACAAAACCAAACAAACCATTTTTTAAAAAAACTTAACTGTCAAGAAAGTGTATAGTGTTATAATACAATGGCACATGTTCATATTTTATTTCAAATCGGTTTGCTTACCACCCATTTCAAACCATTAATAGTGAATGTTACTTAAAGATAATTAAAAATTATCTATTTGCACTATTAACAATAAACAATTCCAACAAATTAATAAGAATTAACCTTGTCAAATATTAGTATTCAAAAAAGAGGTTTTTGCAGAAATGATTATATAAAATATAGCAGCCAATTTCAGTTTTACTTTGCTCTGTGACAATGTACATATGCACTTGACTAGGATTCTAGTATTTGCTTCTGGAAGATACTTCTAAGTCCTTTGATTTCTTGAGGTCCAACAACCAACCACACAATCATAATGGCTCTGGAATACCAATCATGAAGAAATTCTGATGACTTGGCTAGAGTTGTATGTTTCACTAGTATTACATAGGATGAAGACATTACAAGCCAGTAACAAAAGCAAAGGAAAAAGAAAATACAAACATTCAAAATCAGTTGTGATAAGGTTTCTCTACAAATATTTTAGATGTCATACTTTGAGAAATACAAGTTTGAATGTGTATTTGCATTTTACAGTATCTATGCTCTAACTGAAAACTTAACAGAGCAAGTCAGATGGAATGAAGTCTAGTATTGCAAATCTGTTCATTCAACATTATGGAGCACCCACTGCGTGCATAGCACTGTGCTAGCATTTTAAATGTTGAGTAGTAATATCTCTAAAATGCATTACCTTAGTGTGAGGTAAAAATATATTAAATTGGAGTCAACACCATTAGTTTGCTCATGGTAATCTATGTAGTCCTGTGCCAGCTGGCTCCCCTGGTGCCAAATGGTGTGCTTCTGCACTAACCTCATCCATATACACCAACATCTGCACAGTAACTTTGTGCCAAGCACTGTGCTAGTCACTGGGATACCATGATTTGTACATGTCCAAAGAATGCATAATAATCTGCCTAACCTATGCAAAACAATGAGAAAGGAACTGAGGTTCAAAGCAAAGTGTTCCTACTGGTCATACCACACTACAGACCAGTAAAAGCCTTTCTAGACTGGGAACTACTTTTTATGTTTTATGTTGTAATCTAAATGCCTAGATCATTTTTGGTCTCAGAAGTCTATTCATTCTCTGGAGCACCAGACCCCATACAAACCATCCAACACTTAAAAGGGCTTGTAAACTAAACTTTAACATAAATGGGAAAAAAAGGGGGGGAATAAAATTATGGCAGTTGATAATGTACTTCAAGCACTAATCTGGCACTATTCATGTAAAATGAATAATACATCAGTTACTCATGACTGATTCAGACATTTTTCAAAGCACTACCTACCCCCACACTCATATAAGTCTAACCTGATTTTTATACAAGTTTCACACAAAGGAGAGGGCACAATTTGGCCCCAAAAACTTTCTATGGAATATGCTGATTGGTCCTTCGACTGCAAGCAGACTCTAAGAATTCCAAGAGTCTTCTATTAGGAACCTGGCACTCAGGAGAAATGGCCCTGCTGGATGCAGACATCTAACTTCTGTAGCAGTGTGAACCTACTATGAACCCTTAGGGGAAGGCAGAGTTGGGTATATGGCTATTCACTTAGTGAATCCAATACTGGCTTAAAGCTATGCACTGAGTAAAGTGCTCTGTGTATCCTGCTTCTCATCTGGAAAAAAAATACTTAAAAGAGTTAACCCACCTGTAGGTTTGGGGAAGAAAAAATGTCAAGGGTTGAAAGAATCCCAAGAAAAAGTATGAAGCATTGACTAAGAAGGAAGACAAATGCCTCTAGTAGTGTCCTCAGAACTCTCAGGATTTGAAATGTCAGAATGAGTCATACAAAAGTCATGTTCTATAAATGAAAATGCAATCCCATTGGGTACTATTCACACGGTGCATGATTATTTCATCGGGTGCAAGGGAACAGTCTATTGCCACTTGATATTATGGTTTCATAATGAAAAGGAGGGGAAATAAACAACTCCAAAAAATTAAAAACCATAAACCATTGATTGAATAAATCAGGGTAAGTAGTGTGCAACACTCCTAACATTTTTCCACAGGTTGGTTTGTACTACCTCTTAGAAATAAGGCAAGATACCATTACCTTATGATAGATACACACAGGCACAACCATGACCACCTAAAATTGCCAATTCAGAAGTGAACACACAGCCCTCCAGTTTCGTACCCTGAATATGGTGAACAAGATTAGGAACAAAGTAGTTCAGTCTAAAAAAAGATCACAGGTAACAGAAGGCTTATATAATCTAGACTGCTCTTGACGTCTGTAAGAAAACTGTATAGATGGCAGTTGGGGCACGGGGGTGGGGGGAAGATTGTTCCCATATGTCAGCAAAACTGTTTGTTGAGCTATACTCAGCTGAAGTCCTCATCGGGATTCTGTTGATCCAGCAGACGAACATGTGTGAATGGGAAGTGACCTCGTTTGCCATTACACTCCCCTTCCCACTGACCACTCACATTAATCTTCGTAACCTTTACCAGCTCACCGACCTGCAGGAGGAGAATAAGGAGAGCACTTTATTTCCAATTCAGAACGCAAGCTGAAAGACTCCATTCTCTGGTTAGGCATACCCTGCCCAAGTTATTGCTCTCGGGCTGACATTACAGAAACGGCTATTTGATGCCTCCCCAGCCCCAGCCACCAGACTGGTTATTCGTGGTTAATGCAGGCAGAAGTGTTTTTAGCAATGCAGAAAAACAGAGTACAGAGAAGAGACAGGATCTTAGAAAAGGGTATCTCTTTGGAAATCTTAGCTACCTCTCAATGAGCAATTATAACTTGAGTGTGCTTGTGTTCTTTCACTTTGCACCTACCATCCTTCAACTACCTGCCTGCATCAGAATTCCTGGGCTGGGGAAGATTCCACTTCTCACTTGTATACAGCATCTGCACAACCCCTCAGTCAGTCATGGTATATGCATCACTTGCTACTACTTACACAACAGAAGGCATTCATGGAAAACACAACTACTTTCCTATCAAGGTGAGCCTTTTCTCATTTGGGGAGGTACAGTCCACAATCCTAAATTCTATCAGCTCCCTCTCAGCCCTGCTACCTACCATGTAATGGTAGACTTTGTTGCTCCCTTACTGCCACTTGACACTGTTTAAGATCCAATGAGAGGATTAAAAAACAAACTCTTAATGGCTTTGCTTGTTTCTGCAGTCTCCTACTGTAACCAAAATCACAAAGTTTTGACAACATAAGATTATAACTATCTTACTCTGAAGTTTATGATAGTCCGATGATGGATTCACCCCTGCGGCAAAACACTGAACAATGCTGAGCTAGACTCCCAGACATGACTGGACTGAAGAATCTTATAACCATCTTTTAAGGAACCTTGGTGTCACAGTATCTCCTGTGTTAGGCTGCTGATACAAGAGCAGTAGGTTTTAATGATTAACATTTGGGTTCTAAGTATACACACAAGTTGTTCTGACGTATACATGCTCTTTTGTTTTATTAGTTTCTCTTTTTAATAACTACTATTTATTAGACTATTTTAGCATAATGAAGAGAATATTTTATAGAAATTATTCTCAGCGAGCTCTGGTGGCTTAGTGGCAGGAAGCTGCACTGCAATCCCAGAAGTGAGAGGCTTGAATCCACCAGATGCTCTTCTGGAGAAGGAAGGACAATCTCCTCCTGTACCAGTCACATCCGATTTGATGGTACACACAGACACAAATCATAAAATTTAAGGGGGGAAAAAGGCAATTATTCTCTAATCCTCAAAACTGCTTTGCAAGATAGGAACTGTTCTCATTTTATAGTCAGAAAACTGAGGTTCAAAGTCAGTATAACCTATCTAAGGTCATATAAGCCAGTAATTCAAGCCAGATTCAGAAGAGAATGTTCAAACAAAGGAAATCACCGCTGTTGTCAGATGAGATCTTGGCTAGAAGAATACCAGAAAAATGTGCTTTACTACCTATGCCAATGCATTCAACTCTTTGGACCCTCATAAATAGGGGTTGTTGTTGTTATGTCCCATCCAGTCGCCTGCGACTCATAGCGACTCTATGTACAACAGCCCTAAACTCTGCTCTGTCCTGTGCCAATCGTACTGTCTCTGATACTCCCATCCCGATTACCCCAGTCACTGAATCAAACCACCTCATAGAGGGCCTTCCCCTCCTGCGCTGTCCCTCTACCCTACCAAGCATGATGTCCCTCTCCAAGGACAAGTCCCTCCTTACAACATGTCCAAAGTATGTTAGACGGAGCCTCAGAATCCTTGCCTCCAAGGAGTCGCCCAGTTTAACCCTTTCCAGGATGAATCTGTTTGTTTTCTTAGCAGTCCATGGTACTTTCAATACTCTTCTCTAGCACCAAAGCTCAAAGGCATCAATTCTCCTTCTATGCTCCTTAGTCATTGTCCAGCTCTCTGATGCATAGACCATGGCCTGTATCAGATGCACCTTAGTCTCCAGAGAGACACCATTGCTCTTCAGTACTCTGGAGAGGTCCCTAACAGAAGACTTTCCCATGAGAAAAATGAGGATTCCAGAACTGTGCTCCTGCAAAGTTTGTAGAGAGATCAAGCAGCATTTGTTCAGGAAGCTCTGGTGGCCTATAGCAAGAAGCTACACTGCAATCCCAGAGGTATGTGGTTCAAATCCACTAGATGCTCTGCTGGAGAAGGAAGGGCAATCTCCTCCTGCACTAGTCAGATCCAATTTGACGGCACACAAAAAAATAAAATTAAAAAAAAAAAAAGCAGCATTTGTTCAAAGAGAACAAAATGATACTCTGTGATTAGGAAAAGCATGTACCAGGATCTTCTCATTTCACCAAACTTACTCAATTTGGATACTGAGCAAACAATCTGAAAAGTTGGGAGTAATGTCAAGATTGGAAAACTACTCATTAACAGCCTAGGATATACAGATGGCACATTAAATGCTCAAAGTAAAGCACATACTGATGATCAAAAGTTATATACAGTCTTGTTTATGGATTACACCTCAACATAAAGAAAATAAAAAATTCTCACAAGTAGACTATAAGCAACACCATGATAATGGGGAAAAGATTGAAGTTGTCAAGGATTTCCCTAAGATTTATAATTAATGACCATGGATGGACTCAATAGCCAAGAAACAAAATGTACTGGGGGGGGGGGGGAAGCAATGAGAATGGTCTGGTGTGAAAAACAATGTACACAAACTTTGTAAACAAACCAGTATAAAATTTTTTTAAAAAAAATTTTTAATAGATTGACTATGGCAAAAGACCTCTTAAAAGTGCTTAAAAAAAGATGGGGAAAACAGTCTTAGATGTAACTCGTTAAGACTAAGGTGTGGCTGACCTCCAGCCAGGGCATTCTCAATTGCCTCAGTGCAAGTGAAAGTTGTACAATGAATAAGGAAAGTGAAAGAACTGAAGAGATTTAAATTACGATGTTAGTGAAGAATATTTCATCTACAATAGCCTGCCAGAACAAACATATCTTGGAAGTAGTGCTGTCAGAATCCTCCCTGGGAGATGAGGATAGTGAGATTTCTCATGTATTTTGGACATGTTAACAGGAGGGACTAGCCCCTGAAAAATGTTATGATACTTAGTAGAGTGTCAGTGAAGAAGAGGAAGAACCTCAACAAGATGGAGTTATACAGCTGCAGGTGCAACAAGGGCCTCATACATACACAGTGATGATTAAAAAGATACGCAAGACCAGACGACATTTTGTTCTACTGTTATCTAAGATTACTACAACTCTGAACCAAGTCAAGAACCACCACAGCTTCTGGCAAGGCTGGATTTGAGCTCAGAATCACCAGGCTCCAAAACCATGTACGTTGTTGTTACGTACTGTGGAGTTGGAGCAGACTCACAGCTGACCCTCCAGAGGGTTTTCAGTGGCAGTGAACTGCACCAAAGAAGACTGCCCATCTTCCTCCAGCAGAGCAGCTTGGTGGACGTGAACCACCTGCTTTTGAGTCCTTAGCACTAGGCTGCAGAGCTCACTTTCTACCACATAAGAACTGTGAATTACGTACATGTGTACTTCTTTTCCTCATTTTTAGTATTTATTTGTATTATCTGTTAAGTACTCATGTTGTTAAGAAAAAAAGTTGCCAAGTCAATTCTTACTCATGGTGATACCACATGTCAGAGTAGAACTCTGCTCCACAGGATTTTTATTATCTCTTTTCAAAAGTAGCTTCTCTTTCAAGATGTCTCTGGGTGAACTTGAAGTCTTACCCTTTCAGTTACCCAGAATAATATAAGTTCTTGACCTCAAGAAAAAGAGGATGTGTATGTTCATGTGAAAATCAAAACTGACACTCATTTTGAGTTCTCTTCCAGATGAAAATTAAGGGACTAGTTTCTTCAAGAAAATAGTGTGGGACCTTCAGGTCTATCTACTCTGCTAACATCTTTAGTATATGCCAAAAAGAAATTCACTATTTTAAAAATAATAAGGAACTCTGAGAAGCAAAAAGTGTGCTGGGATGTGGGCTAACCCAGTTCTTTGCTGACCAGTAACACAGCAGCATACTAGTTTCTCCAAAAGCATGACAACACCTGATCACCTGCCCTCATATAATTGTTTTTCAAGGTTTCTAAGAAATGGGTAGGCGTTATTACAGGCAAGATGTTACTAATGGAGAGGAACAAGGTACAAATTAGACAGACAACATCAGAGTCATCTCTAATATTCTGACTCCTTTGACTGTTACCCTTGAGGAAGGCTCAGGGAAGTTATACTCAGAAATCCAAAAACTTCTCCTTTGTCCCCCATGGCCGATTAAGTCCCTGGCAGAGAGATCTAGATGACAGGGAATAAAGAAACTATGCCACAACTAGACAAATTTTCTTTTTATTAGATAAAAACTGCAAGCAGCCAACTGCATTAATAACCCTCTCTAAAGTGGTCTTGATGTACAAATACTGTGAGGAAGACCTTATCATAATTAAATAACCCTTTGTACCCTATGAAGTCTTTTCTCCTGAAATGTTTAAGTACATAAGGTTTTCTGGGGTCAAGTTCCAAAAGCAAGATGATTAAACTTAAGAGACCAAATAGAACTGTCTGTGATACCACATAAGGCCCTGGCAGTCTGAAAGAGATGGGTGGCTGTCAACCTCAAGTGTAGGGATAGGAGGAGAGGTGCTGGAGAAGAAGGAGCCTTTAAAAGACATGGTGTTCCACTCCTTAAGTACAATCTTTTTTCTAATTTAGAAACAGAAGTATCACTAATGTTCCTCCTCCTATTAGGAACAACCCACTAAAGCATAACTCTTGAAACCCTGATCAAGGAAGTAAACTCTCACCGCTGTTGAGGCAATCTCATCTGTCACTTGTGACCCTTCATTAGCTCCAAGGCTATAAACTGCCATGGGAGCAGACTGCCCATCTTTCTCCAGAGCAGCAGCAGCAGCTTGTGGACTCAAACTGCCAGAGAACCACCCATCAGTGCAACTTGCTACAGACTATACCACCAGAGCTCTCCTCAATGTAAAACTATATATATCTAA